AAATATTGAAGAGAAAGACTACCTGACCAAATTCACTGTTGGAAAAAAATAAATTAAAATATTAAACAATTAAAAACTTAAAAGTAACAAGTCAACTGTTATAAAACCAATGAAAAAGAATAGACAAAAAGCAAGTGGCATTTTACCACAGTAGTGGAAAAGTGTTAAGTTATTACATGATGGTGTGGGTTCAAACTTTATCGATGACTAATCTAACATCTAATTTAACAAAATTTATCGTTTGACAAAAAAGAAGAAAAGTATTGAGAAAAAGGACATGATATTGAATACTAGCATTTAGTGCAAAAGTTGCATAAAAGTCAGTTGGAAGAGTTGTATGGTGGTCCTCCACCAACTCATGAATTTGTAACAACTACCAGTATATTGGGTTAGCATTATTTATGGAAACATAATAAATATTCTCATTTAAATTACAAAAATGATATTTTTATTATCTATTTGTATGATTGTCTGTACAATCTTTTTAAAAGAGATGATATCCACATGTATTGTGGGATCTACCTTCATTAGAGAGATGATATAAGTAATAGTACAACTAGATAGTAAGTATAATATTACTCTTTAAATTAGGCCTACCTATTACTAAACATAGGTTATGAGTTTTAGTTAAGATAGTCAAGTCTAATAAAGTCTACATATTGTATTATTGGACCACAAGTTAAAACTTTGATTGAATTATTGAATCACAAGTTAAGGCTTCATCGGAAGTTATTGCTTTGGCATGGGCTCGGCGGCAACTTCCACCCTCGTTCTCCTTTCTCTTCCTCTACTTTTTCTCCGTTCTTCTGTTTCTCTCCTCCGAGCCTTATTTTTCAAGTTTTCATGGCAAGTTTTTAAGGAGAGTTGATTTTCACACACTTTTTAGCTTTTCATATATCATTCTCTATATCTAGTTATTAGATTGAATAAATCAAACGAAATCAATTGGCGTAAATTAAAATAAATGTAAAAGGAGGCAATCGGTGTGTGTTTATCATTTCTCATTCATAACTTTCTCACATTCACCCCCATCTCCTCATCCTCTTTCATCTTCATTTATGTTTTTTTTTGTTTTTAATCATATCACCTTCGGTTGATTTTCTAACTCTAGCTATGCATGCAAATTGTTATGAGGGGTTATGTCAAGTTAGCGACTTGGTTGTCATGGGAGTTTGAGTTGTGTTTGGGTATTTTGGTATTCTCTATTTTCATGGCGGTGTCCACCTCGTGGTTGACATTGACGACAGTGTGGATGCAAATTTCGTCCAAGGTTGAATTGTCAAACTCCACCTACTAAACAAGACACACCGTTAGCCTTATTGACTCAAATAAAATAGTGTCTGCCAAAGGAACTATAACAGAGAAAATTTTGAGCAATAAGTGGTGATTATTGATTTCCTTGTTGGACTTGGCTATTTATAGGAGTGCACCCTCACAGGCAGCTGAAGGGGAGGGCGCATGCCATACTAAGCAGATCGCTATGTTCTGCTAGAGTGATGTAGACAAGTCTTCGCATGCACCTTACAAATGGTCCCAAAGGTCTCTGGTTGATAATTGCTCAGTAGCACCCAAGATTTTAAAAGACGCTAGCCGCTAGTCGGGCGGTGAGATAGGGCCTAGCACCTAGGCGGCAAGACGGGCGCTTAGGCGAACTAGGCAGATTTAACTAAATCTATTATATTTCATGTAAATAAGTGTCTATTTATACTTAAAATATATATAATTTCATCATAAACTACAAAATAGAATGACACATATATTATGAAGTATTAGAACATAATGAAAACATGAGGAACAAGCATATAATGTGTGCTCATTGAAGTATTCAACAAGTTTCTTACAATTTATTGAAAAAAATAAAATGCAAAATAAAAGTTATCTATTTTTTCTGCCTAAGTGAGTAGCAACCTAGGCGGGTTTGGTCGGGCTAGGCGAGTGCCTAGGTGGTCTAGGTGGGTGCCTCAGCAGGTCTAGGCGCTATTTCTTAATTTTCAAATGCCTAGGCATTCGAGGCGGTGGCTAGTCGCCTAACCACTAGGCGGCTAGGCAGGGGTTTTTAGAACAATGGTAGCACCAGACACCCAATTGAAGACTTTGAAAAGTCGGCTTCCTGCCACCTTGGACTTGGCATGCCATGGTAGCAAGACATATCATGGGCCCATAAGGCTCCTTGATACGTAATTGACCCGAAGGCCCAATACCTATAGGGCATGTAGATGTCAGGCCCTTTGTAGTACCCTATGGTCTACTTACGACATAAGAGGACAAAACCATACTGTCATATTGAGCTTAAAGTCCATGTGTCATTCTCCTATTAGATTTTGCTAATTTATGTCTCCTTAGACATCTCGTCATGTCAATAAGTGGGTTCTTTTCATTATTGGTAGGGTTTAGTTTTTTAGTTCAACTTTTTATGAGTTTGAATAAGTTGCAGTAATTATTTATGAGTTATGTCGACACCACCTTCGAATAATGCCAACATTTCATGTTGAGTGCTATTGAGATATGCTGAATATCGCAATGCCCTTCAATCTCAATCATGTTACCAAAATAATTTAACAAAGTTTGAGAGTATTTTTGTCATTTCGATCTTATTTAACTGATATTTTTCACTAAACGACCAAAATGATTTACAGTGGACAAACTCAGGGATCATTTTTATCAATTTCAAATCTTAGAGACTAAAGTGACCATTTGGCTAAAGGGCCTTATAAATATTAAATGTTTTGATCAAGATTCCCATTCAGGAGTCATTTTGCGGGCATAATCATAGTGAACATAAAAACTTCTATTAATAGGTAGTGCATTGAATTACCCCGGTTATTAGAGTATTTAACTTTAGCTCAATATGTTTCAAGTTTAAATTCATTTTATCTTTTAGTATAACTTAGATTAATAATACTATTTGTAATAAAATAAACAATTCAAAACTTCTTAAAATGGAGACTGCTTTGTGGTATTACATTCATCATTCTTTCATACAATGACATTCATCATTCTTTCATACTAGACATATAAGCTCTATCATTCACTCATATTATAACACTTGAATGATCTCAGTACATGATTACATGGGAATTTCTCTTTTAGAGCACTTCCAATGTAGAAAGGCCCCTTTGGGCAATAGGCACCTCAATCCCCTTAAATGAACAATAACTGCCTGCAATGTACAGTAACTGCTTAAGTGTATCTCCATCCCTTAACTGAATAGCCCAAGCAATTCGTATTAAAATATTAGTATTTTTTATTTTTATAAAATAATAAAGGGTAAATTACATAGTAGCCCTTCAGGTTTGAGCTCTATTGCAATCTCATACAACATCTTTAAAACATTTCACTTTCATATCTCAAGTACTATTTTATTTTAATTTCATACAACCGTTAGATTTTCCATCCATGGATCTGTTAAATGCTGACGTGGCTGCCACATATATGACACGTGGCTGCCAAATGTCTGCCACGTGGCAAATAAAATAATTTTTTAATTTAAAAAAAAAAAAAACATATCTGCCACTTTTTTTTTTTTTTCTTCTTCTTCTTCTTCTTCTCCCTCCTCCTCCTCTTTCTTCTTCTCTTCTTCTTCTTCTTCCTCCTTCTTCTGGGTTCGGTCCCTTTCTTTTTTTTTTTTTTTTTTTTTTCTCTTTTCTTCTTCTTCTTCTTCTTCTTCTTCTTCTTCTTCTTCTCTTTCTCTTTCTTCTTCTTCTGGGTTCGGACCTTTTTTTTATTTTTTTTTTATTTTTCTTCTTCTTCTTCTTCTTCTTCTCCTCCTCCTCCTCTTCTTTCTTCTCTCTTTCTTCTTCCTCCTTCTTCTTCTGGGTTCGGTCATTTTTTTTTCTTCTCTTTCTTCTTCTTCTCTTTCTCTTTCTTCTTCTTCTTCTCTTTCTTTTTCTTCTTCTTCTGGGTTCGGACCTTTTTTTTTCTTCTTCTTCTTCTTCTTCTTCTTCTCTCCCTCCTCCTCCACTTTCTTTTCTTCTCTTCTTCTTCTTCCTCCTTTTTCTCTGGGTTCGGTCCCTTTTTTTTTTTTTTTTTTTTTCTTTTTTCTTCTTCTTCTTCTTCCTCATCCTCCCTCCTCTCTCCTCTTCTTCTTTCCTCCTTCTTCTGGGTTCGGACCCCTTTCTTCTTTCTTTTTTTCTTCTTCTTCTTCTTCTTCTTCTTTCTCCTCCCTCCTCTTTCTTCTTCTTCTTCTCTTTCTCTTTCTTCTTCTTCTGGGTTCGGACCTTTTTTTTTCTTCTTCAATTTCAGGTTTTTTAAAAAAAAATTAAAAATTAATTTTTATTTGCCACGTGGCAGACATTTGGCAGCCACGTGTCATATATGTGGCAGCCACGTCAGCATTTAACAGATCCATGGATGGGAAAATCTAAACGGTTGTATGAAAATTGAAATAAAATAGTACTTGAGGTATGAAAGTGAAATGTTTTAAAGATGTTGTATGAGATTGCAATAAAGCTCAAACCTGAGGGGCTACTATGTAATTTACCGAATAATAAAAGATAACTTATTTTTAATTTCGAATAATAATGAAATATTGGTTGAAAGTATTTGAAAATATTGAAATGTAGTGTAAAGTGGAAGAACATGGTTAAGTATTTATAGAAAAAATTATAATTTTTTATATTTTTAATTAGTTTTTTTTTTATTTTTTATAATTTCTATAATTTTTAATATTTTAAATTGTGGTTGATGTCAGCTTTACGTCACACAAGCAGGGCATTGGATTAGGCGATTATTGCCCGACTTCTCTATAGGGCTCGCCTTGGGTCCAATTACCTGAATGGACTAGAGTGTTTTGAGGAGGGGAGAGAGTGGATTGAGTTGTCTATCCTTAAGATAATAAGTAAAGGTGGAGTTGCTCTTATGAACCTCACCCAGCTGAGTTTTAACAGCAGTCAAACCTCATTAAATGTTCAATGTAACTGGTATAACTACTGCTTCCTTTCCTTTTGTTTTTAACCCACAACCCTAGCTTGTATTTACTGCAAGTCACTCCTACTCACTTCCCAGCTGCAGATAAAACCAGTTAGACCTGATACCACAGTAAATAAAGGTTCCTTGATTCTGATGTTGATTCTCCCAAATTTGTTTTCCTTTTTCGTATTGTTCCTTTCACTAATCTGCCTCCCCTCTGCGCCTGTCTCTCTCTCTCTCTCTCTCTCTCTCTCTCTCTCACACACACACATTGTGGTCAGAACTCCCATAACTGATCTCCACCAACTTTTATCCACCCCCATCACAAATTTAACCCAAAACCTCCCTCTCTCCCTCTCTCTCTCATTTGCTTGTTGTGTTGGAAGTTAATTTCTCAGAAATTAGCAAGTGGGAATTCAACATTATATTGTATTCCTGGAAGCTAGGGTTCTAATCTGGGGGATGACTTCATGGTGACATGATATGCATAACATATTTTAACTACCATGAATAATTACTCCATTTATCTTCTTTTCAAAGTCACCAGAGCCATCATGCTTCTGCATTTTCTTATCTCTTCAATTCCAGCCGCCTCTTGTTTTACTTCTCATCTGCCTCAGCGTTTCACTCCTTCTCTTCGGGTAAGCATAAATATTTGCCCTTCAGTTAACTTTGGCCCGTTTGAATACTGTTTCACTTTTCATTTGTTTGAAAACCGACAAAATTTTTTGTTTTCATTTCAGTTACGAAAGAAAAAATTGAAAACGAAATAAATATCCAACAACCTTTTATTTTGATTTTGATTTGAATTGAAACAAAATAAAGTCATACTTAATTAATAACTACTTAATTAATGTTGTGCAAATTATTGTGTAGGGAATATTATTTGAGGAGAAAACCAGGCTAGGATCCAAACCACCAAGCTGCCACAACAAGTGCAACGAGTGCCACCCATGCATGGCGGTTCAAGTGCCCACCATGCCCAGCTACGACCGGCAGATCGAACCGGGCATGACCCGAACCATGTCCATGATGTTCCTTGACCCATCTCATCCAGGTACCAACAAGTACTCCAATTACAAGCCTCTGGGTTGGAAATGCCACTGTGGTGACAACTTCTTCAATCCCTAGATATAATTCAAAGTTAAATTAATTAATTGGAAATTTTCATGTCGAAATTAAAGGAGATGGGTTTGATTTTAATTTGTACACTCTGAGTTTTCTTCTTTTAGTTTGTGATATGTGATTTTGTAAATTTGCTTTAGAGGGTTCATGGGATTCTTTAGAAATTAAATTCACTTTAGAAAAATATTAATATTATACAATGTACTTAAAATTGTAACTCTAACTCTTTTCCTATTTTTATAATTATCCTGTGAATTGTGACGAGTCTTATTTTTTTCCTTGTTCAATTATTTTGGGATGAGCGAAAAGAGTTCTACACATTCTTTTTCTCTATTTCCAACATCTTCTTTAGTTTATTGGATTTAAAGGTAAAAAATTTGCATCATACGTGAAAGCGGAGAAAAATAGCGTGTTGAAATATATATTTTTTTTACTAATTAGGCTACGTTTAGTATATGAGAATGAATATGTGTACGGAAATGAATTGATGTGAAATAATTTTCATGTGTAGTAAATGGTAATGAGGATAAAGTAAAAAGGAAATAAATCAGCTTTTGGGGTTATATAGACATTTTCAATTGTCAATGATAATGGCTTGGTCACAAAATAAGTAATTAATGTTTTATACCATGAGGAAGTAAATGATCTCCTAAAGCGAGTTTCCTAAAAACCAAAGGCACCTAAGTAATTGTGTTGTGTTGTGTTGGTTCTTGACCCTTTGCAAAGTTGTGTTGGTCTTGACCCTTTGAAAAATAGGAAAATTAATGAAACTGGTTTAAAAACTTTGAGTTTTAACAACAAAGACAAAATAAAAGGTAAAATGAATAGTACCAGAATTGACTTTTTAGTGTAAAAATATAAATTTTCGTTAAAGTGAAAAGTAAAAATCCCAATAAAAAAAATATTTTGATTAAGGGGATGTACATGTGAATAATTGCATTGATACATGTTAAAAGTATTCATTTGTCATTATCCTCATTTGTTGGGATACGAGGCCCATCACCATACTATATGATACATCACTCTCTTCCCACCGGTTCTCCCTCGTATCTTTCGGTTCATGTAACAATCTCCATCGAACTGACCAGAATGCCTCCGCACCCAAAGTGTGATGTAGGACCGTTTCAGGGTTACTTTGGTGATAATAAAATGGATTCTTACTTTTCGATTTTTTTTGCCTAGTAACCTCCACTACATGATCCGTGCCCTATGGAGTATAGAGTATAGCTACCCGGAAGTCAATGCCAACCCAGTGCTTGTGGCTACGGAGGTGAATTGTCTGCCCTCTCATTTCCATACTCTTCTCATCTCCTTCTGTTTGTGTGGTCATGGTTAAACTACGTCAACATTTTGTATTAATTTTTTTTATAAAAATAATAAAACAAAAATAATAAAAATATAAAATGTTGACGTGGCTTAACCGTGACCACACAAAACATGAGGGGATGAGAAGAATATGGAAATGGGAGGGCAGACAATCCACCTCCGGTTTGTTCCTCGCATTATATGCAAAAATGATATTCTTACTAACCAGTTGTTTCATCATATGTACCTAAATGAGCTGATAGATTCTACTTTTATTAAAAAGACGGTACAAATAATGGTACAAATAAATATTAAGTGTAAGTATAGCACTACTCTATTATATATGAATGGGAATTCTCTCCCCTTTCTTTTTTCCTCCCCTCTCTCCCCTCCTCTCACATCGTGTCTTGAAAAACAAGCTCAATGAGGGTCTCTACATATGTAGAGACTCAAATATAATGGGCCAGAATTAGTCTTTGTGCATACCACGTATATTCGGCCCCCAAAGAGCGAGTCATTGTGTGGCTGAAATCACATGCAATGTCACGCCCCAAACTTGAGGATCGGTAAAAAACACCTGTTGGTACCATACATATTGGGCCTCAGACTTTGGGCCTCATCACCCAGCCCATAATTATGTAAAAGGAGAAGCCCCTTATTCTATAAAAGGGGACTCCTCCCCTTCACAAAGAGCACTCGGAAAACCCAACAGAGGGCAATACCCTCACAAACTCTATCCCAAACTCTCTCTTTCTCTGGGGGACTCCCCCTCACCCTTGTAATCCATACATACAGTCAGAAAAATAAATCAGTGTGGACGTATCCCAAACATTGGGGTGAACCACGATACATCTTGTGTTATTTGCATTTCTTGCAGATTCACGATCGAATTTACGTTGTTCCAAGACCTTCGGTTTTGTGCATCAACATTTGGCGCCGTCTGTGGGAAACGACACGAAAAGCTATGTCGGTTCTCTTTCATTTCTTCACCTCCACCGTGAATCTGCAGAAACCCAAGAACCAAACTCTTGCACAGTGACTGCAAAACCCATGTCTTCCGCTTCAGCTCCCGGTCATGGCGTCATCGATGGAAACACAGTCACATTCCTTCCTTCTCTCTCCTCTCACTAACCCACATAGAAAAACAGTCATACACTCTTCCTTAGGGGGACAACTGCGTGGTGTATGATGGAGAAACCGAGGTGAATCCACGGTTCTGCGCGACGAAGCACGTGAACATCCTCAAGAACAAGTGCTTGGCGCACATGACCTCAGCCAACAACTGCAAAGGTAGTGGCTCGTCGAAAAAACTACGACAATAAGGACGCGGTGTTGTATCAGATGGAAGGGTCGTACGCGGCACTGCGAGGTGTACGACAACAAAAGGAGGAGGGTGGCCGAGATCAAGATGAATGAGGCAATGGGCGGAGTGGCGATGGGAGTCGACATCTTCCGCCTCATCGTGTAGCCCGATATGGACACAGCGGTGGCCATGTCCCTCGTCATCTTGCTTGACCAGATGTACGGGACGTCGAGGCGTAATTATCTTGTTGCTGTTTTGGAAGTTGATTCTGCAAAAAAACCCAAGATCTGCAACGATCCAGTATTACGGTGGCGATGACGCCTCTAAAACCATGGGTGGTGCTTGCGGGTATGGAAACCTCTATAGCCAAGGAACGAAAATGCAGAAACGAAAACTCCTAAACTCCACCACAGTTTCTTCTCTCTCCTCTCTCTGTCTTGTAGTCTCTCTCTAGTTCCTTTTTCCCCCCAAATCCTCCCAGATGAGCCTCATGTGGCTGCAGCTTAAGGCTTTATTGTTGGGTGAGATCTCTTTCTCCCTAAAACCCGAAAACTTCGACAGCCGAAACCAAAGCCAACCAATTGAAGAAGAGCTTAAGGGATTTAGAGAAGGAGGTCAGGAGCTTGAAAGTTGAAATCAACGACAAAGAAGAAACATGAGGAGCTTATGGTTAATAAAAAGATGCTCTTGCTATTGCAGTACGGCTTCATGATTCTTTTGGTGGTTCTCCGTGTCTTCAATGTCCAGTGGTCAGCGAAACAAAAGATAATGTCTAGTGGTTTTCGATTTGGAGCGACGTCCATGGCAGCCTCTGTTGGCAACACCGAGATTAACTGGGATAAATCCACAGCCTCTCAGTCATCTAGACACCCATCATCAGCATCCTCCTTGCTGACATTTCCCGAACAATTGCTTCCATTGCCCTCATTAAGATTCTTCATTGAATCATTACAATCCAAACTGCTTCCACTCGGACTGGTTGTCAGAAACTCCAAAATTATTCTATAAATGTTGCCCACTCCGTCTAAAAAGATAAGTTTTATTATTTTAACACAATAAAAAAAGGAACGTTACAAAAGTCAGTAAATTTCACGTGACATTTGCTAGAACCGAGTGAGAGAGAGAATGGATTTATAGTTGGCTTGCACAAGTTGTGTTAAGGGACCCTTACCAGTAACAGCCTTTCATGACTAAAGTGTTGCTTGCAAAGCTGGCTACCACATGATTAACAATTTAACACATTCTTTTGTTTATTAAATGTGATCATTAATTAGACAAGTGGATCCAAGATCCTCCTTGTTATTTTGAATGGTTTCATTATTCAGAGATATACGAAGATAAGTATTATTTATTTAATATCTTATTAGTTTATTTGTATCATGATGACTAATTATAAAATAATAATTGTATTATTTTTATGTCATGATGACTTATGATTAAATAATATAATTATTATTTCTGATATCACATGATTACTACCATGTTATTGATTTATACAACATATGATTTACCACATGACTGAATAAATTATTTATTTATAGAAGGCACATAGTACAATATTTTGTCTTGACAAACTTTGTCAATTTGATTTATTCATTATACGGTCGTACTTATACTGTCATTTATTGTCAGGAATTATTGAGCAACTAAATCCACTGATCAACATTGTTGCTGATTAAAGAAGTCTACCAACTTATAGACTGATGAGCCACATGCTCATGGTGATCTCTTGTTTGATCGGACACCCACTTGCTCGGACATTCGTTTATTGGGACACATATATGCTTGAACCCAACTCGATGACCCTATAGATAGCCCCAACTCGATGACCCTACGTATGGCCCCGACTCAAAGACCCGACTTGGGGACCCGATCCGCGGATCCGACACATAGACCCAATATGCGAACCTGAGTCATGTCGAGAATCAACTCATACTGAGTGCATGTCGACATAAAGTAGATACTTGCAATGAGGAATACCATGAGCCAAGCCGCCTCGCAGCGAGCATAGCCTCTAGTCGAGTCGCCTCGCAATGAGCATCGCCTCCAGCCGAGCAAACTCCTCGCCGCGAGCATAGCCTCTAGCCGATCAGCCTCACAACGAGCATCACCTCCACCCGAGTAGTCTTGTAGCGTGTGATACCTCTAGCCGAGTATTGCTTTATGTTGAGCATTGCCTTGGGTTGAGTACTGGTTCAAGACATTTAGCCACTTCGACCCGTACATGGATTGGATTTGAAGTCTCCAGCCAAAAGACTCTCTTGACTGAAGACTTGGGGGACTACTGTTGGTACCATACATATTGGGCCTCAGACTTTGGACCTCATCACCCAGCCCATAATTATGTAAAAGGAGGAGCCCCTTATTCTATAAAAAGGGACTCCTCCCCCCTCACAAAGAGGACTCGAAAAACCCAACAGAAGGCAATACAATCAGTGTGGACGTAGCCCAAACATTGGGGTGAACCACGATACATCTTGTGTTATTTACATTTCTTGCAGATTCACGGTCAGATTTACGTTGTTCCAAGACCTTCGGTTTTGTGCATCAACAAC